TAAAGTATATTATTATCATTCAAAAACATGCATTAGAAAAGGGAAGAAAATAGTTTTTCTCTCTCTTTTATTCAGTCTTTTACATTAAAATATTTCTGGGTGAATTTAGTCTCCTCAGAGACCCCATTTTAATCCGCGCCAGGTGTGCCTACGGCTCTTTGGATTGGATAGCATAGATATTATACATTAAAATTAAGGATTACATGATTATTTTTTAAAGAATTTAAAAAAAAAAAAGAATTTAAAAAAACCTTATTTTTTTCTAAACATATTTGGTAAATTTAATTTTCTTGGCTCTAAACAAAATTGATCTAAAAGTATTCCTTATTTTTCCCCTTGTTGGGGGTGGGGTAATCTTAAATGATATTGTTTCACATGTACCTAAAAGAGGACCCACCAGGCATTATGTTGTCTATGAAACATTCAATAATAAATTCAAATTTCATTCCTTATTGGATGACATATGTAGATATGTAGATATATTGTTTGATAACTATTTTTATCGTTCCTTAATATATTAGTTTACATATAAATTATAAAATTTGTATCATATATTGGTACAGGTATGTCAAATTGCTCAACGATCAAAGAAAAGAGAGGAAATACGCAGAGAACAAAAGAGAAAATGGAAACAAAAACAAAAATTATTGAGACCAGCAAAGGAGTTGTCTCAATCTATAGCTGCTGTAAAGAAGAGGTAGCTGAGAGAGAGGCTTGCTCGGAAAAAAGAGGAAGAACGTGAAAAAAGACAACAAGCTACAGAAAGAAAGCGGAAAAGTAGGGCAGCCCTTAAGAGTAAACAGATTCAAGAGAAATTAAAGAAGGAAGAAAAACGCAAGGAAAACACAGAGAAACAAAGACGATAGCGAGAAAATAAAAAAATACTCACGCAACACAATCTTCCGCTCACACAAGAGGAACAACAAATATTTCAAAATAAAATGAGTAAATCCCGTGCAATAAGAAAGTTAAAGGAAGCACTTTCTAGGACACCTGTAAAACGTATTGCAACTGTAAAGGCGTACTTGTCCTCAAAGAAATCACCCACGGTTAAGGAACTACAGCGTAGAAAGGTTGTACCATCACCGGAAGAACGCAAAGAATTGGAAATGAATGAATCGGTTATACAGGATGTGAAATCTTTCTTGAATTCGGTGAAATTTAAGAGGAGTGATAAGTCGCGGGAAGTCGTCGACATTCTAGCTGCATCTGTATCAGGACCATTAGTTCAAAAATCTAGGGCCAAAGTTGACCTTGCGAGAAAACTCGGAATGCCAGTTAGAAGGATCTCAAAGGGTGTTCGAATCCGACAACGAGTTTTGCATTCAGAACAATCATCCTTTGAGTTTACAATAAAGGAAAACAAGGTCAGATAAACTAACTGAAGAAGTTCAAAAAACAGTATATGATTGTTTAACAGTTCATGATTTCTCGGAAAACTACTGATGTAGTGAGCAGGTTGAAATCCAGTCAAACTATTTTCAACGAACTGAGGTTTCCATTCACATTTCCCTGATTTATAGACATGCTATTTTAGAAGTCGACGGTGTATCGAGCACCCCCGATGACCCTTATATTATTTGTGAACATTTTTTTCTTATTTCTCCTGACGAAAAGCACGACCATCATTTTGTTAAATGTGTTCAGAAATTGATATCTGAATATTTGCAGTCCATCAATTACCCGCTCTCTACAATGCATGAGTTTTGTGACGGATGTCAAAGCCAATATAAAAGCAGGAACTGTATGGGAAATCTCGTTCATTCCGTTGACGAGCTTGGATATCAGAAAATGATACGAAATTATTTTGAAAGTAGCCATGGTAAAGGACCACAGGATGCAGCGGGAGGTTTACTTAAGAACCAAGCTGATATGGCCGTTATCCGCGGGAAAGCTCAAATAAGATCTGCGCTTGATTTATTTAATTTTGCAGAGGCTAATCTCAGGACACCGCGATCTCATGCCTGCAAAAGAAGAATATTTCGATATATTGAAGAAATCCCGAGGTTTGAAGAGAACTTTCAGCCAATTAAAGGAATTCAAGCCGTACATCGAGCAGAAACATCTAAAGACGGGAAAATCATATTACGTAATATGTCGTGTTACTGCGACAATTGTCTAGAAGGGGAAAAGTGTGAAAATTTACCTCAAGTTGGACTTTCCAAAGAAATGAAAATGAAGTCGAATAGCGAATCTACACATCAGGATCCTGACATTTCTGAGGAAGAATATACCGAGGCAGAAACACTCTCAGATTTTATTACTGAAGGAACAGTGTTTGCTGTTCTGTGCACAGGGGATGACGACAATGACTTTTATCTTTTACAAGCCACATCAAAAAGCAAAACTCTACGGAAAGCCAAAACAGACAAGTGGGGTGGATCGTTTGTTGCAGGGTCAACAGTCATCCACGGAAACTATTTTGCTAAAAAGGAAAACTCAATCTTGGACTATAAGCTAATAAAACGCCCAGTAGCCATGGTTCCAAGTGCATCTGTACTGTTTATATGCCAAAATGTATCTATACAAAACGAAATTCTTCACCTAACCGAAGAGGAAAATGAAGATATCCTGGAATGCGTCGATTTGTGCGTGTTAACACACTAAACTGATATTAAATGGCATCTAAATAATTTTTAGAATTGATTTTAAACCTGCATTTTTAACAAATTAAAAGAAAGTTAATTAATACGGTAAAGAACACTTTTGCCTGTTTTTGACATGAACGTTTTTCACGCTACATAATAAACATATTCATTCATTAAACTTCCAGTTTCTTTTCATTTTATTTTATTTTTACTTTTAACAAAGAAATGGATTTAAGGGGACTCTAAATTCTAATGAAAACTTTTTTTTTACTTTGAGATCTTTTATATAAACGCGTAGATACTTCAATTTCAACAAGGGTACTAGTGCCTAGCTACAACATTCACCAAGAAAAAAATATATAAAGATGTTTAAAGAAAATGAAGTATTCGCTCATGTTTACGTACATGCAAATAATGTATTCATGTTTTTTTTTGGTCAATATTACTTTAATTTTATTTCAAATTGTGTCATTTGCTGAAGATTTCCATTTATTCCAACTTACATAAAAGAGCAGATCACTTTAACTTCATAAAACATATGGAGTTAGAACTCTTCAGTATGCAGTTAAACCTTTATGAAAGTTTTACTAAGTCGCTGATTGATATGAGTAATTTTTACGTCCCGTTTACGTGACGTTAAACGTCATTTATAACGTTACCAAATGTGACACCAACACCGTGCGTAACGTCTATTAATATACTCTTGATCGTGTAGTCATTGAAAGTTGTGCGGTACAGATGTAAGGTGTGGGCTTGCGTAAGACAGGTCAAGCTGGTTACGAATCATTTCAATGAAAAAAAATATAAAAGATTTTTTTCACTAGTGTCCCTTTTTAATTGATTTAATCATATATGTTCCATTTAAGATCTCTTACAAATAGAATTTCTTTAATACAGAAAATCATAAATTAATTCAGTTTTTATTGTTTCATAAAACAAAATATCAGAAAAAATATGTTGTGTTTGACTGAAATAAGCATATTATTTCATAATTAATATACCTCTGTGTAAATATAGATATGAGTTACTAAAAGTACTGATATCGATACCGTATCAGTTGTGGATCCAGGATTTGGCGTTAGAGGGGGTGCCAAGAGATGACAAGGGCTCTGAATACCTAGTAGCTAGATCAAGAAAAGTGTCCTGTGGGGGGTCATGGGTGAATTCCCCGTAATCTCCAAAGAATAGTCTTATTTTGACACGAAAATGGCTGATATTTTTCTTCATGTCATCAAAGCATGACAGTAAACTATACTATTTTTTTCTTCTTTTTTGAAAGGGGGGGTTGGTCTGGAGCGCCCGCGTCTGTATCCGCACCTGAGTATAGATCTAGTTTAAGTCCCTACCACACTGTCACGATTTAGAACTACCATTCATTACGAATTCAAAAATCGCAACAGTTCGGGGTTTGTCGTTGAGATAGTCGTAGGATACTAGTACCTTCCTTATTCGTGTTTAATCGCAGCAAATTGCTCCACCCTGTAGATATTACCCTGATCAACCAACTTTAATATGGTGTTTAATAATTTTAAACAACTCTCTTATATATATTCTATATGCATTTCATAACATGTACATGTATGTTCGTATGAAATCGTCCTTAGTCGTCGGAATATCGTGTATATGTATTGTGCCATATCGTAGTGTCATTCGTACAAGTATCTGAATGTAACCGCGTTTAATCCGAAACATAATAACCAGATGTGATTGGCTCTGATTTTCTGTTATGGACCATGAATCTACGTAGACCTCTACTACATATGTACATGAAATTGTAATCTTAATGAACAGTTAATTTTTTATTAGATAAAATTATTTTGTGTAATTGCTGGAATGTATAAAGAATCTCTCTTGTTGTTATTGTAATAAAGACTTCTTAAAAAAATTATTTATATGAAGGGAATAAACTTTTGACAGTTTTTCTCTTCAAAACGTTTTTATGTATTTATTTCAGTAACGTTTCAGCATAGATATAATAACAAATAATTTCAAAATAATGATATTAAACTACAGAAAGTAAATAATGTAATTTGGTTAATGTAAAAAAAAAAATCAGTTAATTTGAAATTAACAGATTTTAAACGTAAAAAATTTGATAGTTGTCTATAGCAAATATTGATAACGTAAAAATTACATCATGACGTCATACCTTTAAGCACGACTTTTGTGGACAATCATGCCATTTTTAAGAGGCTCCTGACGAAAAACTAAAAGTGGTATCGGAAAAATTTAAACTGTTTCAGGGAATATGCATTATAGACATCCTGTGAAAAAATCCTGATCATATTCAATAACAGGGCCGATAATCTTCCTCTTTATATCGCTGCTTCTTTTCAATTGCTCGGGTTTGTGATACAGGAAATATAGAATATAGAAAGGAATTCCACGCAGACGAATATCAGTGGGTATGGATATTACGAAGATTTTGTGTAAGTTAGCAAAATAATATTATGCATATGTCCTTACTGACTTAGGAATGTATGCATGTAGATAAGTCAAGCCAACGTACATAAGCACATTGGCTTATCTACTGTACATGTATATCGGTAATACATCCCTAGGTCAATAAGGACATTTCCTATAACTCATTTATGCAATATTATGTTCATTCAAGACCGTTGACATTCTCTAATTCGTGGTTATAGATAAAAATATTTTTTTCTTCTGTTGGAAAAGTAAGAAGTTGGCCCATTTAAAAATACTTTAAATATGACTGTACTTAAACACGAGATAAAAGGACCTACTATAAAATACATAATACTATAGGCCTAGTCCGAAATATCTGACGTTTTCCAGGCGTTTTTCACTATTTTTGATATTTTACGTGCCAGGAAAACGTCAAAACCGGCGCCATTATGTAGCTATGGAACATGATTTTTAAAAGCACTTCTTAATTTAAAAAGCAACACTTTATATTTAAGAGCCATCAAAAACCATTTCCAAAACAGTTTCATTTTTTGAAATTGGTTGAAAAATAAAGTTATTTATTTATTTATTTTTTTTCTTCATTTTTTCACATCTTGAAACAGAAAGTGTTGCCATTTTTTTTTTAAATCAAAGAAATAAAATCTACTAAGGTGCAATTCTTTATCTAATGCAAATTACCTTAAAACAATTATATAAACAAAAATATGTATTTGTTTATAATCACATGAAAAACAAATGTTATATGGTTGCCAGAATTAAGTTCGAACTGTGGTAACACTTTGTCTTTTTCATTCTTTGCAAGATATAGTTTTAAAAGTATGAGAAATATCAATATCAAAAACTTGATATTTCTCCAGCTAGATTTCTTTGTAAATTCAGCAATTCTGATAATTGCTAAAAAAAAAAAATTAATTAACCCCCCCCCCAAAAAAATTTAAAAGAGAGGAAGTATTATATATGCAATAAAAAATTATGAATAGAATTCTTACTAGGGGGAAAAGATGTTTTTCACAAATATTGATTACATATACTTTCATGAAGAGATAGGATAGGTTTAAAGTTATGAAACTTAATATTATGATCAGAAATTCTGTAATTGCACCATAATTAAAACCTCAGCAAGTAAAATAAAAGTTAATGAGTAACATCCACATTTTTTAAATATACATCAAACTCGCACACATTTTATTTTAGTATTAGAAAGTAACAAGAACAGGACTAGACAAATAGCATTGCCCGACGCCCAGGACAACCAATTTCGTTTTGTGGGCAAGTTATTTGATAAGTGACGCCTGCCCGCGGATAAGATTAGTGCTTTTTCAATTATTAACAAAACAAAACAAAAACAAAATCATATATATACTCAAATGTCTTTGTGTTATCACTTTTAAAGTATCATTAATCACAGCAAAGCACATGTTTTCACTGCTGTTGACCACTACATCGAATACTCGGTCGGAACTTTTCTAGAATTTACGCATGATTAACGTTTTGTTAAAATATTCAGAAGTCGTAAAACATGGTAGCTAGCCTATCGATGTCGTCAAAAAAAAAAATATACAGAAGTCGTAAAACATGGTAGCTAGCATATCGATGTCGTCAAAAAAGTTGAATGGGATTTTAGACTTTTTTTTAATTGTCAAAATATTAAATTCATACTCACGGTGAATACAGACGAGTTAGTTTAAACCATATTTTATTTGAAAAATACAAGCAGAAAATACAGATACAGATAAGTAGTACAGAAAAAAAAAATCAAAAAGGATTCGGAAACAAGTTTGAAAACTTATACTAATCCGTTTCCTTATTATTATGATTAAGATGACAGACCCTTATTACAGACCCTGAAACGTGCTACTACCCCAAAAAAGCGTGTGACTTTCGTGCGCTTTTCGTTTCGTGCAAACCGTGTAGCGTTTCGTGTAAACCGTGCAGCGTTTCGTGCAAACCGTGTAGCGTTTCGTGTAAACCGTGCAGCGTTTCGTGTAAGCTCCAAAGCGTTTCGTGCAAACCGTGTAGCGAGCGTGCGAGAAGCGTGTGAGAAACGTGTCGACTTTCGTGTAAGAACCGTGTGAGAAACGTGCGACTTTCGTGCAAGAAGCGTGTGAGAAACGTGTAGGATACATTCGGAACTCATTTTATTTTAAATATGGCTATTGATGGATCAACATGTCATTCTGTGTTGTTTGTAACTAATATTATTCGAATATATTATACCGGTGGTATTTTAAGAGAGAAAAAACTACGGAAACAACAAAATAATATTACTCGGTAATGTACATGTATTACATATTTGTTTGATTTTTATTCTTTTTTTATTTAAATAAAGAAGGAAAGAGAATATGTTCAAAGTAATTAATTATACGCACATCAATTTTAAGGTATTCAATACATTTTTTTAAGGGGGCAATACTGAACATCGTTTAAAAAAAAATCATCAATAATCCGGTCTTGTTCTTTTCATTCATTTATTTGAATCTCTTCACCATTTTACAGTTGTGGTATATAGATATTACAAAAACATATGGGTGATTAATGCAAAATAGTAGATAGATAAGGCAGGCGTGAAATATAAAATACTAAGTTTATTGCGTTGCTATAATTGTTAAGTATGGGAATTCTAGGCTGGGGAGCACAATTATTTTTTTTCTTTATAAACGAACATAATTTTCTTCTATTACAAGATTGTGATACAAATAATTTTTAAACGATGAGTCACTTATAGTCCTTTTATGCATAAAATTGGTTGATTAATAATTGTCTTATAAATGAATCATAATTCACATGCATCGGCAAATACAAGGTCAAATATTTCCGGGGAAGGGGGGGGGGGGGGTGTTCAAATGCAAACACAAACTTTGAGTTTTTGTTATTAACATGTTTTTATAGATGATTTTCTTTTTAAAGAAAATATTGATTTTTTCGGGGTGCGCTTGATGCACCCCTTAAAAATGTATAGGAATCTTCTTTACACTTCCGACACTCTTCTTACGACTGTGATCAAGGTCATTTACAACAGCGATCACGGGCTCCGCGTGCCGGGAACTGAAAACTTGTTCTGCTACATGTACATGTATTATCTCTTGTCAATCATGGCTAAGACGACACCCGACAATTACGATTGATTTTTAATTCGTGAAATTTAATAGTTGTATTAGTATTTAAAGGGTAAAAATAAATACCCGTGGATTTTATTTCTTAAATTTATCGATTCTCTGTAAACAGTGAATTGATTTGCCAGTGTATTCGTGAATAATAAAATATAAAGAAAAAAATCCGGAGTAATTATATATTAGTTGTTTTATTAATCACGCAGTTCTAGAGCATATTTTTTAGTTTTTAGGACACTGGACATGTATTCATGTATATTGAATGTATTGTTAAGAGCCGCGACTATTGATTAAAAATATATATATATTTTTTTTTTTTTTTTTTTTTTTGGCTAGACGGGATTTGAAATCAAGGATCTTACAAGGTGGTGGGTATATTGTTTTTATTTGATAAACACAATGCCTCAAAATGGAGAACTAAAGCATTACAATACCTATTCCCCCGGCTTCTCTAACATATTAAATTTTAATGATAAGTCAAAGTTTGATTCTGTAATGAAGCGATATATTTACCATTCTAATTAAATTGCAGTTAATGAATTACATGTATCTGGTCCCGCTGGAGATATGGATATCCTTTTTTTCTTAGAACGGGCATTTGTTTCTGTAATATTTTTTTTCCCAATGGTATACTTACTGAAACAAGTGCCAGTTATATTTAGCCATGAACAGAAGTAAGATCTCGGTAATCTACCCCCCCCCCCCCCTCCTGCACAATGTTCCTATTTGATTTAGTGTACATATTACCTTTGCAAATTATAAACAGGACCTAATTCAATCACATGAAAGTATTTATTTACTAAATCAAAAAAATGAATAAATCAATCAATAATTAAAAAAAAAAAAGGAAAGGAAAGAAAATCAATCCGATTACAGAAATCATACACAATTTAATCATTTTCTATCTTCAAATCAATAACTGGATTTATTTGTCAGTAATAAAACGATTTGTTATCAAACTATAATTGTAGAAACATTGAATGCTGTAAATATTAAGAATTACAAATATAATTATTTTTTTCAGTTCGTACATGTAATTTAGAGTCTAGTGAAAATGTTTTGTACATAGACGATGATACATGTAGGCATTTCACCGTACGCGTCACATTAATTCTCAATGAAAACTATATTATTAATTAAAAACAACTTAACATTGTGTATATTTATCTGTTAATATCGTACTGGTGTAGCGAGGTCTAATCCTAACTTAATCTGAATGATTGCAATTCTTAAATAATCTTTGATTAATCCGTAATTTACTTAATTTAAATAAAGTCCGAGAGATTCCGAATAAAAAATCCAGATCGAGGCCAAAACGTGCGAGAATCGTGTACAGAGCGTTTCGTGCAGGCTTTCGTGTAAACCGTGCAGCCTTTCGTGCAAAGCGTTTCGTGTAAACCGTGTAGCGTTTCGTGCAAACCGTGTAGCGTTTCGTGTAAACCGTGCAGCGTTTCGTGCAAACCGTGTAGCGAGCGTGTACCGTTCGTGCAGCGAGCGTGTGGGGTAGTAGCACGTTTCAGGGTCTGTAGATAGTTACATAACACGGTTTGAAGCTGCTTAAAAACTAATATTTGAAAATGACATACATGTTACGTTAGAAATCATATCGATTCACACAAATGAATGACTTTCTAATTATACAGAAGAAGTCTAATGGATTTGTACAATATGTATGTATGAGAGAGAAAAAAGCGACAGAATATGGTTGAATTTATAGGAAAAATAATAAAGAACAAATACAGGAGATTTACAGCAGTAACAGATATTAATTCAGAATTGAGAAGAAAAATAACAATGAGAAAAAATAAATAAAAATGACGCTTGCTACACACACTTAAGAGAATATACACAAGAACATACCCACGGGAGGAGGAGTAGTGAATAGATACTAA